GAGTTAATAGTGAAATAGGAAAATACCTCACCATTCAGATTCGAAGAATTAAAACATTTTGTGGCTGATAATCAAAAACTTGAATTTAAAAATAAAAAGTTTATATTTTATATAGTTTTCCTTAATCCCTGGTGTGACGTGAATTGGCTGAAAGGGAAAGGTGATGACAAATGTAAATTTATCGCAAAACATCACTGTGCCAATCAGACACACATCAGCTTAGTTAAAATTCGGAACAATATTATTTTTTTAAATTCAAATTAACATGTTGATTTAACTTTCTCGAGTTAATAGTAAGAGAGGGAAAATATTTAATTATTTAAGGTTGTTTTCTGCATTTTAAGCTTATAAAATCTTTACTGTTAATTCTTTTCTCTTCATGATGAAAGCGGAAAGCTGTGAAGTCTTAAGTTAACATTCAAATTCTAAAAATCGAATTCAATTCTCCTTAAAAGCTACAGGTTTTTAAGTAAATCTAGTTTTATAGCACATTGATTCATGGATAATGTTCACATAGAGGACATACTTGCAAATACGCTTTGTTTGTACTACAACGCACCACCCAGTCTCCTTTTTCTTTTCTTTTTATACGGAAAAAAAAAACTTTTTTCAATATTAAAAGAATAAAAATTGTTACCTATTTGGCAAGTAACCGACTGTTTTTTTTTAACTGAGATATATATCTTGAAAATGTACAAAAAGCATTTCACTAGGAAATGAAGTTTGTATAACATTCCAGCAATTTTTCGACCAACGGTGATATGCACAGTGTTCCATGTTGTTAGACAACTGCATCTGTTGATTCCAAATAGGAAGAGGCATTTATACCAATGCGGTAGTCTCAAGAGAAAGTTACTAAAAACAGAAATTGACATGGGCATAGTCGAAATAATTTCATGTTAATATATTTTTAACCAATTACACCTGACTCAAGATAAATTGAAAAAACTTAATTCATGAGCCTCTTAGGTGGTATAAAAAGAGATTTTTCAAGAATCAGTCAGATGAAGATGACGATGAACAGTTGTATGGTTTGAACTGAGAACCACTGCCAATTCCTCAACTGATAAAGCAGGATTTTCTTCAAGGCCTGCTTCAAGAAGCTTTTCATCAAACTGGACGCCCAGTTCGATCTTCATCTTCAAGGGGGAAATCTCCACCTCTGAATTTTGCAAAGCATCTTCTGCTAGTTCTTTCATTCGCACATCCCTCTCCATAAAATGAGTGAATGTTTCTAGCCACTTCGGCTGCTGAGTTTCCTTTCTTGAATTCGTAAAGCATTATGTGCCTCAAATGATTCTTGGGTACTTCCATGTTAGCAGGGTTTTAATCAAACAAAATTTAATTTTATTGTTCTCTGAAATAAAATGTGATCAGTTTAAATTCATCTAAACATAAAAATAATGTTCAGCTCCATTAGACATTATAAAATACTCTTTTAAATTTCGTTCATTTTAACAAAAAGTTAAAATTCGGACAGAACTTATGGGATGACCTGATAATTAGGTTACAAAAATTTGCATTTTATATGAATAATACCTTATGAAAATTGGGATGAAGTAGAGTTGGGGGCGTGTCATAAATTCTAGTGGTGGGTGGAGCACGAGGCCTTTGCACCAGCCCTGTCAGAATCTACACCAAATCTGTCCACTAAAAAAAATAACAGCCCATAACTACGTCAGTTTGTCTCGAAAGTGTGACTCCTTTACATATCTAAATACTATTTCTTTCTCCTTTTCAATCTTTATAGGACAGAAGCTATACATTTCAAATATGAAATTTTATCATATTAAAAATATTACAAGTAAACAATTCAATACCTAAATCCTCGACAGCCAACAGAGACCATCTTGCCGTATAGTTTAAATAAACTACATTGATGAATATTATTATATAACTGACGAGTTTAACATTTTTTATCTTATGAAATTCAAATATAATAAACCCTATTTAGGTCTTTTTCGCTTCTTTGCAATGACGTTATCTTCTCACACACACACACACACACACACACACACACACAAACACACACACACACACACACACATATATATATATATATATATATATATATATACAAAGGTACGTCTACGAAACTCCAAAGTAGAGGTTCTGAATATAACATCAGCTAAGTGACAAATTTTATATTTGTCTTTAATCTCAGTATATTCAATAATTCGCCGAAAAAACAGCATAGCATGATGAAAAAAATGTTCCAAACTTAATAAAGACAAATTTTTATCGAGAAAAAGTTTGTTATTAATAAGAAGAAACACCAAAGTATTTTTTAATTATTTTTTAAAATTTTTTATTCCTTTCTAGCACGTTTGAAATTTTGGTTAAAAATGTTTTTTTTTTTACATCAGCGGTCGCGTAATATTTAGCATTAGTTTCTTAGCGCTTTTTTCAGTTGAAAAACACATTAGTTTGGAAATTCTTGCAAAAATTAAATAATTGTCAGATTTTAATAAAACTTTCAGAACTTATTAAAAAATGAATGAAATTATTTTAGAAAAGTTTTTTTTAGAAAGTCATTATAAAAATATTTTTTTACATTTGTTACCCAGCACTTACTTAATTTTATGAAAACTCGAAAACTCGAATATGTGTATTTTTGTCATTTTTAATTACACGCAGAAGACTTTGAATCATCGATTTTTTGTAAATCGGGGAGCGTTTCTATCCAAAACTTTAGATCTGAATTGTAAAATACACAAAACCCAATAAAACTAAGACATTATTTAATTAAAAAATCGTTTAATGTCTTTTATGAATAATATATATTAAGGCCATTATTGCCTGAAGCCAAAAATTTTTTTCGATAAAAAATGAATTTTTACAAGAATTTTTTTTTTTTCAATTTTAAATACAAAATGTGATAAAGCTGTTAAGTATTTTAAAATTAAGTTTGAATATGTGTATCTCTGGAAATGCTCTTATTAAAAATCTGTTTTTACATATCTTAAATTTGAATGTTTATTACAATCTGCGAAGCGTTTCTATTCTTACAATAATTTTTTAATATGCCAAAAATGTATTAAAAACGTTTTCCGCAAAACTATGGAGGCACAATTCAGAAATAATGTCACCAACTTTAAGACCGCTGATCCGGCCTCATAAATTGCGCTGATTTCGTGTTAAATTCTCTGACTGACCGACCATTATCGTCGCATTTTCAAAATTTTTAATTTTCTTTTTTTACATATTTCCCTAAATATTTTCTTTTCATTTTTTCAATAATTTTTTTCTTTTTCAGTGAGACATACTGCAATTATTAATTTTTTTCTTTTTTAAATTCAATTTTAGGGACGGAAACAGTGCAGGCTTTGGACATATCTTCCTTAAAAAGTACCTAAAAAATCAATAAAATATTAGATTTTTGAATGTATTTAATTTTTAAGAATTATTTTATAGTTAAATAAGCTGGTTCACTTAAAATTCGAAAATACTGTCACTGTCACTTCTGCCCTTCCGTCCGATAAATTGCCCTGACGTTAGTTGTCGATACCATTAACGTAAACGTCAATTCACACCTCCAAAACCAATTACCACTGTTAGACATTATTTTCCAACTATTTTTCTGCTAAAAATTTAAGTAATGTTTATTTCCAATTATATTAAGTATACTTTAAATTTTCTAATTTTCCTAAAAAAAAAAAGAAGTATAATTGAATTTTAAACGGAGAATTTCACTTTTGTTTATAAAGTTGTCAAAAATGGTTGACACGATCGATTTTATGTAAATTTTGCTAGCTCCAAAAAAAAAAAAAAAAAATACAAGATACTTGACTAAAATTTCAGACGTGCTAGAAAGGATTAATTTTTTTTTTAAAGTATTCAAAAACTACTTTGGTCTTTCCTGTTAATAATAACATAAACATTTAGACGATAAAAAATTATTTAATCAAGTTTGGGGCCTTTTTTCATCAAGATATGCTCTTCTTAGCGAAGTATTGAATATACCTACTTTAATCATATATATATATATATATATATATATATCCTTGCCTTTCTTCTCTTCCCCCATCTTCTTCTTCTTCTTCTTCTTCTTCTTCTTCTTCTTCTTCTTCTTCACATCCTCCCTCCCTTTCTATCACACCCAACGCCGTGCGTTTGCTTATTTAATTTTTAAAAATAATATAAAGTTCATTAGTTTTTTAAAAAAATGTGTTGAGAGGTCAATTGATCAAAATCGCCTGGGAATACCATAAGGTTGAAACCAAGGTAGCAGATTCAACTGATCTCCTGATTTTTAAAGTATATATATATATATATATATATATATATATATATATATATATATACGAAGTCACAAGTTATCATGACTGCGAGTTTGAGTGTAGTGGCATTGTTCAGATTGTTGATCATGCAAGATGACACACACTCTCACAGAAGTTGTAACTAAGGTCTGCTCAGCATATTTGCAGTATAAACCACAGGCTGGATTTGTGGGTGTTGAACAAACACAAATGTGCCTGAGCAAGCGCATACAATAAGGGATTGGCTAGCCTCCCTAGTAGACGGCTATCGTCGAATACGAGTGGCCAGCTATTAAAAATATATATATATATATATATATATATATATATATATATATATATATATATATGTATATCAACATCAACAAACTATTTCTGGTTGATTTTTTGGAGGAGTATAATTGTGTGTTTACGGCTTTAATTTGATTTGGGCTGGATGAGTGCTGCCCCCATAAGGTGAGTTTCGTTGGGGTCTGCATACACCAACTATATTTTTCCATCTCCAGCTTGCCTGGTGGAATATAAGTTCCCATTTTCTCAATATTGCTGCCGACTGCCTGACGATTTCATGAATGCACGAAACTCTAAGTAGTGGGGTCGGTCACTATGCGCCAGAAATTTAATTCGTAATTTTTTATATATCTACATGTGTGTGTGTGAAGCGTTAGTGAATACAATAGAGAACTCGCTAAAATGAAATTTTAGAAAAACATAAATTAAAAATAAATATAAATTACCTACCATCAAAAGAGAGTAGCACTATAAAAAATCCAAACTCCATGTGTGTCTTTAGTACATCTAGGTGTGGCATGATCATAAGGTAAATTTCTCCAATAATTCTGGTAAGGTAGTTTATTCAACACACAAAAAAAAACACACAGTTAATAACTTGGCCCCTTATTTTCCTTTTCTTCTTTTGTTTTATCAAAAGTTACTTAACTATTTTTGTATATTTATATATAAATATTTGTTATCATTTGGTATGAAGATTAATGAAGAATTGGTCGTGTTTCAATTTTATAAGAAGTGATCGATATGCCTTGACTTTCTGAACGTCCTTGTTTATAACAAATGATATTTTAGGATGTGTCACTTCAACTGCTCATAATGTCCAGAATTTATCTCAATGAATTTTCTTTGTTAGTTTTCTTTTCTCTCTCTCTCATTTCTGCGTTTGTATTCTGCGTACGAGTATTATATCACTTCTCTGTATAACAAGGAGTTCCTTACTTGCATTGTTTTTGAATTAGAATTCATAGCAAAAATATGATTGGATGTTAACTTGTTTTTATATTGTAAACGTAGACGAGAGTTAGTTGCATAAATAAATAAACAGTGATAGATAGACATACGTTCTTAATTCTGCAAAATAAAACAATTCAGTCGTCCGGGCAACAAAATATGAATGAATGGTCATGTAATGCCATATCATGTCTATACTTGTCTCCTGTTTTATTGCTGAGAACGTTATAACAAATCGGTAAGAGCAGAAACAGAGGTAAAAGTGAAAAGTAAGTAGAGAGTGGACATTAAAAAAGAGGAAAACGAGAAAAGAGAGAAACAAAGAATTTGAGAGAGAGAGAGAGAGAGAGAGAGAGAGAGAGAGAAGAAAGTAGTATAAAATGTCTATAAACTAGCTTGGTATATATATTATACCAACCTAGCTAGGCATAGCTTTTTTCTATCCACCAGTCGTTGAAAATGATTGATATACTAATCTCACAAACATGACTAAAGAGACAGCCAGTAAAAAAAATAAAAATAGGTTTAATGAAAATAATGAAATGAACATTTTACAATGTATGAAAATAATGTATTATATATTTAAACAATTTAATAAATATATCTGAATATTAAAACTTTCGTTTTTATATATTGATTAAAATTTAATAATTACTTGTATAATATTTTGTGTAAATTTATAAATATTTGGTTTGTACATTATACAATAATAAAAATAGGCTTTAAAAACATTCGTTTGATGACGTGACCGACTATTTTAACCCGGCTGAAATCTTGATGGGTATTTTGAAAAGGGAGGTTTATATTCGTGGACGGCAATATATGTATGTTCGAATTAAATATTTTATTAATAGTACCTACTTGAGCTAGTGACATGGAGTCGTTATACTCTGCTGCAAATTAGATCTCTTTCTGACTCACTCTATATGTCGGCCGGATGTGCGCGCTAAGAAAGCAAAACCCAAAATAAATAAAAAAGTCATTTTCTGGACAGGGGCTCCAAGCATCACATCTGGCCCACAAAATAAATCTCCACAAAAAATCTAAAATAAAACATAAAAGAAGCCAATCATGAACGTTGCCCCCAAAGAAAAAAAAGATGAGTCCAGGAGTCACCAGATATGCATTTAAAAAAAACCGCTCATAAACGACTGGCAAAAAGCGCGGCAAAAAGGCATGCCGTCATTCCCCTCGGCGGGCCCTCGACGTCACCATCGTGACTGCGGTCAACCGACGCGACAAATCCATCAATTTCGGGCATTACCAACTCTACCCCTTCATCAAAGCCGCCACACCTCGCTCACACAGAGATAATCCGCTCGCATCCGCTGTATCGGCAAATTTAAAATAATTTTATATTTACAATTTTTGTCTTCTTTTCTTTTCGCATCACCGACAGTACTGTTATTTTGTTTTTCTTCCATACTGTCATACGCTTGTTTATAACTCAGTTGTTTAGAACTTTAGTGCATCTTATAAAGATGAAAACTCTACTGTAAAAGAATACAATGCTGAATGTCTCTAAAAATGTACTTCTTACATTCTCATCTCAATGTTTCCAACGGATTTGGGTGCTGTAAACGATGATTATAATTAGAGGGTGCATGAGACCATACCTGAAATAGTATACAAGGTGTCACGGTTGGTTCAACCCAAACATAAGGGCACATTCTCCCAGGCAGTGCCTGTCCTTCGAGTGTGAGGCTCTTAGGCGCACCTTGGACATAAATCTACTATTTATAAATTTGCTATTTGCCTTGAAAATAAATATGTATACAATACAGACGGAAACAGGTTTGAATGGACACGCAGAATTTCCTCTTGTCTATAATACTATCAACAGGGTCAGTAAGTAACCGAGTACTTGTGGGCGTTTGTCATGGGTCAAAGAAAATGAGTCTTCCTAATAACAAAAAAAAAAAAATATGGCGAATATTTATAAAATAGAAGAACTTATTCTTGTGTGAAGTCTAATGTGTAGATTGCCTACAGATGGTGGGAGTCTGGTAACGAAGGTTAAGTGAAATGAGAGGAGATCACAAGGAAATTTCTGAGCCATGCTTGTTTTCCGTTTTATGATATTCGTACACAGATTAGTTATGCTTTTCTCTCTTAATCGACTTACCTTTGGGATTTTGAGCTTTGATTCAGAATCTTACACCTGTCTGTACGAAACTATGCTTAACACACAGGAGTTTAATTACTAGATCTTATTTACGATTTGCGATATCGTGGCTTTTGAAAAATAGGATGCGGTAGAGATATCAGCATTCCAGTGTTCACCAAAAAGGAGAACAATGGAAAATAAAATTGACTTTTGACACATTATAAAAACTTTCTGATTTAATTATTAGCCAAATTTTGAAAGTAAAAACCATTTTATGTCTGCCCGTTGTCAAAACCCACTGAAGAATAAATGCTTCACAAAATAAAGAAAAAGCTGCATAGTGGGAATAAAAAAAAACATTTTTTTATGTAATTTATTCTCTAAAATAAATATAATTTCATGGAAACTGAAATACAACCGCGATTTTTTCCACGGAGATTACCGTATATACTCGTGTAAAAGCCGACTTCATGTATAGTGCGACCCCTGAATTATTTGCATGAATTTTAACCCATCCAGGAAAACTTTACCTGCGTATAATGCAACCGGTCATTGAAAATGCGTGATTTTTAACCTATTAAATAATACCTGTGTATAATACGTTTGCCTATTTTTTGAGTAAAAACAAAAATAATCATAAAAACTCGCATTGTATTCAAGTATATATGGTAACTAGTTTAAGAATAATATTATTATACTCTATCATTTATTTTTACCTGGTCTTATATTGACATATTTTTAAAGCTTAATATTTTTAGGCATCGAATAATTAAAGAATCATATTACACAGTAGTACGTTTTACTTAATCTCATATTCTGTTATATACCGTACTTATGAAACTAATGGGTATGTCCCAATCGTCATAAATACGTTGGACACTATTTTAAGTGGGAATAATATGCTAAGTATTCCACTACTAGCAGTGGTTTACCTACTTCACGCCGCTGGCGAGTATTGTATTTTGTTGATGTTATAAGGATTAACATTTCATTTCCAACCTCCGTTTTGGTTATTCCTCATTTAGTATCCGTTTCTAGGTTACGACATATTCTCATTACATATTTTAATCACATTTTTTTAACCTGAAGGACCTTTTTGAACAGATCAATCAAAATAATATTTTTGGATTCCTGAAAAAAGTGGGTGATGTACCAAAAAATATAAAACACCAAATACTTGAAATAACTTTAACCATGTTCGGACAAATGAGCAAACTATTTGGGTGATATGTACTTTGGATAATTGCTTCTGCTTATTTCACCCTAAATGGCTTGTATTGGTGAAAAGATGATGGGAAAAAGAGGAAAGAATGACAACGAGACACATCTACAACAAGATAGCGACTCGATGCATGATTGTGATGAAACCTGGACTGAAATTGAAAAAGCTATTGAAAAGTTTGTCAGTTTTATGGAAAGAAAGCCAGCATTCAACTATGCCGATTGCAATAACGCATGCAGAGTTAAAAAGTGTCTTCCGTTTAAAAAATTTCAAGAACAAAAGCAAAACGAAATGCGGAAAAAGTTGAGAATGATATTAGAAGAGAAAGAATCATCATTCAACAGCGATTAATAAAATCCTTTCACATTATTTGTTTTGTATACGTGGCATATTTAATTTAATGAATTTTTTATTAACATTGCATAATTTATTTCTTTTTCCTTAAAATCAATTCGTTATATTTCACTCACCATTAGCTTATTTTGCTTACTATAAAACATTGAAAATAAATATTAAACCTGATTTCATCTGAATATAATCCCTCATATCCGGACTTTGTAACCAATTCCTCAAATCTGGAAAGCTTTCTTAGTCTGGTTGTCAAAGATTCTACTGTATATGTATAAACAGGATTTGGCATCAAATTGATATGCCAGAAAACCCACCTAACTAACTAATTTTTAAAGCTGAACATTTTAAGGTAACCAAAAATTTAAGAATTACAACCTCAATGAATTTTCAAAAGCAAAATATCTGAATTCTGATATTTTTTTCCTTAAAAATTGTTACTGTTTTTGGATGTGTCGAAAGGGGTTTTAAGATGTATATTTGGAATATGTTACAATGTAAAAAAATATACTGTCATCAATCATTTAAATTTTTTGTCATGTAACCAAAGGGGTTTTGTACGTTTTTTTTTTTTTACTTTAAGTTTTCCCTTAGGAAAATATAGTTATCTCTACACTCTTGTAACATAGTACGTAATTCTTTTGTAATCGCCAACTAATCGTTAAATTAACTAATTTTCTTTGAAATTCATGCTTGAATACTACTTAGTGTCTTTAGTTTCTATTTTAAATAGAATAGATGAAAGGCAAAAGCATTTAAAAACTGTAGCACGATTTGCATTTGAATTTCTTGTACTTTTACATTTTGGGAAAATCTTCTATCGTCTTTCAATCGAGTGCAGACACGTCTTCAGGACTCATAACTGAATTTAGAGAAATGGTTACTGAACTTG